ACTTAGGAGTGAAATTGTGGGTCACTGGATCTACGTAGGTTTACATTCTGACAGATAGGCCAAGGCAGTTTCCAAAGTGGTTGTAAAGATGTAGAACAGATTTAACTGGGAAACAGTTCATTGTGCTGACTCACTGGGATAGGAATGAATTCACAAGATGAGTCAGCTCTAAGCTTTGAAAGGTGAACAATGCCATATTGTCGACAGGAATAGCCAGTCTTTTTTTAAATGGTACATTTCCGTGCCTCTCTTGATGGAAATATATAAACAGCATTGAGCGTTTCCCCAAGGACTCAGACCTCACTACGCATGTTGCTTGTATTCTAGGCTTTCACAGCCATAGTCCTTGTGAATCGAAATCCACTCAGCAACACCTACCCAGCATTTACCGGTGTTTGGAGAGCCTATGAGAACATTCTACTAAAGGATTCCAGAGTGCTTTGTGTTTGTTTGCCTGTCTGTCTGTGTGTTTGTTTAACACCAACCCCCCCAACACACACACCCTTCTTGCACTTTGAGGGCCACTTCTGCAATCACTGTGCCCTCATGGTTTCTAAGCGGCTGCATTAATTTGCATAAGACTAGATGTCGGTTTACCTTTCATTATTTTGGGCATCTTTTAAATCAGGGTTTAGCTAGCCTGTACTGTCTGTGGGCCAAATCCACCCTGCTGCACGTTTCTGTAAGTTGTTTAATTGGAGTGTTAAAAAAAACAACTAACTTCTAAACTCATATAGACCGTATGGTGACGGGATAGGACTGCTCTGTAAGTTTCTGTGGCTGTGAGAGAAGAAAATTTCCTCTTATTCCCAGCGAGCAGCTGGGGAGTTCAAGCTGCTGCTCTCCTCCGGCTTCAGTCGAGAGGAGGTGGCTCCGGCTCCACATCCACCCAAAGCCCTGGCTACAAGGCAGAGGTCAGACAGGCTCCACCCTCCACCCTTTGTTGAAAACGTGCATGCTCTTCTCTGCCGGGGTGGGTAGTATTCTGTTGCAGTGGTTACACAGCACTTAGAACGCACCATCATGGGACTTTATTAGATGAATTCTTCAGAGAAGCAAAAGCAGTGATGCTTATGTGTATATGAAGAAAGAAATGTATGTCAGGAAGATGGCTTGCACAGATGTAGAACAATTAAGTCCAAGCTTGTTCAAGTCCATGAGTCAGATGCTAAATTGGAGGCTTTTCCTGACCCACATAACTGTCAAGACTGATGATGAACCAAGAAGCAGAAAAATGACCTGGAAGCAGGAAGGGCACCGGTTGGTGGAGACTGGGGTGTAGAAAAATCCAAGATGAGCAGGTCAGGTTCATGGCCACAGAGTAGAACAACTACAAGGTCAGCAGACAATCTGGAAGTCCACTGGTTGCTGCCAGGATCAATAGGCATATGATGAACCATTGAACCTCTGGCCCTTTAACCCCCAAATCCAAAGAACCAGAAGTCAGACCAGCAATTGAAGAGCAACCTTTCCACAGAGGCTGCTTAAATAGGAGTAGGCCGCACAGCAGCTCTTGTCAGCCAGCAGCCAAACCCCTCTCTGATCCTCACCCTCCCAGTCCTGGGATCAATCCCTCAGCCCCTGCCTTGTTCTGTGGCCCAGGAAGCCCTTCACTCTGTCCCATAATCTCAGCACTGCTCCCTTGCCTCCCTCATGGCCTCAGCATAGCACAGCGTTTATTCCCTTCACAGCTTCAGGCAAGGACCTCACACATGCCATTGGTGGCTCGCCTTTCTTTGTAATCTTGGGATTTCAAAGCCATGATTTGAGACACCATCTCAGCCAGAGGAATGGTGTCTAGTCCTGACTAGTCCCCAAGATATAGAGCCCTTTGTACCTTATCTGCTTGTGTCCATCCAGGGAGTGCGGAGAAGTTTCAAAGACTGAATGAAAGAGCCATGCCCAAGCTTTTTCACTGCACTACTGACCTTAGGAAAATTAGCTCAGTTGTGATGAATTAGAAAACTACAACCATTAACAAATTCACAACCCACTGCCATCAAGTCAACCCCAGCTCATAGTGACCCTGTCTAGAGTTTCTGGAGCTGTGTATCTTTATGAAAGCAGACAGCCTCATCTTTCTCCTTCAGAGAGGCTAGTGGGTTTGAATCACCAACCTTAGCAACCCAGTACTTTCCTGACAGCACCACCGGTGTTCAACAGTTCCACGGGGTAAAGTAATGAGATTGTCTCCCACTCCTGGTCATATTTCAGAACACTGCCCTCAAGTTAACTTCCTCCAGGGACTTCCTCAAAAGTGCTAAAAAATTAATTAAGTCCAATGGGAAAATTTCTCTAAAACCATTACCAGTGCAATATCATTTCTAATAATTAAATAATCATAATTTTAAAACTAAGATGTGTTTAATTAAGCACGGCATGTTTTAAACTAACGTGCTCAGTGAGAAGACGTAAAATAGAAGCATAAAGGAAACACATCTCTTGGAAGCCTACAATCCAGAAATGAGCAATTAGCATTTTGCCTAATTCCTTCCAGTATTTATTTAATTTATAATAGAAGTGTATACACACACATAAATGTTTTAACAGAGCTCACTCAAGCAAGTTTTTACTCTGTTTTTCTTTGGATTTTTGTTCTCTTCATACTGTTGTGAGCATGTATTCCATTAGCAACCATTTTCAAAATTGCCATCTTAAAATAGCCTTCTAACAGCTCACAGCATGGGTATTCTGTAACCTCATCTCCTTTTATGGGACATGCAATGTCTATAGCATTTTTTTCTCATAAGCTATTTTTCACATCAGCTTTGACAACATGCCTGAAATATCTTTCTAGATGTGTAGAGGAAGATAATTACCTTTATCAATATTGCCTTTGTGAACTTTTTCATATCTTGTTTGTGTTTTATTAGCTTAGGGTGATTAGATTGCATGTTAGGGTTATAATGTTAAATATTTGATTATCCATAACATGCTTTTTTAAGATTCAGGAAACATAATTTATTGTACTTGTACATAACTTTATAAAACCAAGGCTATCCTTTTTAAAAAAATAATTTTTTCTCAATGAACATGCTATGGTAGACTATTCAGCCTCTGTGTTTATATTATTCATTGGTCTACTCATAAGAAAAATACATGCGCATGCATTTACACACACACAGATATAATTGAACAGGACTTCTACCCCAAATCATCTTCATCCTGTTTGTTTCACTTTTGTCTTTAGTTTAATAAACTTTATAATTTTTGAGAAATATCCTTTCGAAGTATAGACCCGTACTAATTAACTACTAAATGGATCATACTAAATACAGTGTGACTGTATTTCTATTAAAATATCACTGAACCTGAGTTACTCCGTGAGTATGTGAAATAACTGTCTCATTTTCTCCCCAGTCACCAGCCTCCCTTTCCAGAGTAACTGCGGTCAGGAAGCTGGCTCTGGATTTTTTAAAGGACAGAACAGTAATGGAAAGGTTTGAAGTACTTGTTCCTGAAAATCATGAACATTGGCAAAAATTCTACCTCTGTCAACTTTCTTAAATCAGTGAATATTTATGTAAAAAAAAAAGAAAGAAAGTTTGGTTGGAAAGAACTTAATATCCATGTGTATATTTTCATGTTCATTCTAGTACAAAATATGTGTTAATAGTGATACTTGATGTGATATATATATATTTATTCCTGACATAAATTACTCCAAGTGTGTTTATACTGTGAATTAATATAATGTATTATTCCTATTATGCTTTAATAACTTGTTTCTTAATGAGCCATGATATATGTATAAAATATTTTCACAATTCTTTATAAAGTGCGTTGGTTGTCATGACTGTTTATAACCCATGTCTTCAGCACGTTCCTGGAGCATCATCATCTTTGATGCTCATCCATCATGCTTAACTTTTTATTTTAAGGTTTACTGTCTGTCATGGGGGGGAGGGGGGATATATTCGGGCTTCGTCTTATAATAAGAGTGGCAAACGCCTTGGAGAATAGTGATTACCACGTACAATTGATGACTGTGATGGGAAAGGTACACTTATGTCCTGTATACAGTTGTTTTGACTGTCCCATAGAGAGGATCCTTCACGTAATACACATTCTATTAAAGTCAAGCTAGAAACTCTATTCAGAGTTTTTTAGAGCAACAGAACAGAATTTGGTAGTATTTTCCCAGTAAATAAAATTCTCCAGTGTATTAATCTAAAATTTCAGAATTAAATGTATGTAGGGTAGGTAAAATATTTTGTTAAAAGTCATTCAATAATATACAATAATAACTTTTTCCTTCTGAACCTATACACTGTAATTTATCATTCATCCAGAATCATATATAAATGCTGGATGTTGGCATAGAAATAGAAAACACCTTTTAACAATTAACTCACAAAGTTGTGATTTTCAATAATTTATAAGTGTGTGTGTATACACATACACTAATGAAAGAAGTGCTAAGTAGAATATCAAATTCTGAAATAATTTCATTGTTTCTGAGCCATACACATTCCATACACATTTGAAGGAAATCCTGTCCTTAAAAAATTTCTTTATGAAAAACTAACATTGGAATGTGGAAAAGTCAAAATAATTATTTTGATACATTTTGTTGCCTCCTGTGTTTTAATGAAGTGTGTGTGTGTGTGTGTGTGTACTCTCCCTAAAGCCGCTGTGCTTTGTATGTTTGTATTTGGCTTTTGCAGTAAGTCAGAGTGAAAACTGGGTGTCGTGTGGCTTTTCTGTTACCTTGTCATTTGATGTACCCCATCTCCTTGGTGTGAATTCATGTGTTATAGCAAAATATAAGATATGATTGTTTGCAGTGTCACATGGAAAATCTTTAGTAAATATGTAAATAAAAATAATTATCTGTTCCCATCTTTTCCCCAGAGTAATAGTAAACACTTTAATGTTGTCATAGATATTTGTAATGTTTTCAATAATTTAGAAGTTTACACCTTTGCCATATTGTTTTCATAACCACGATCATTTTTTAAATGGGTTTTATCCTCAATTACTGTCATGATCTTTTACAGACATTTAAATTTTTGTTTTAAATAATGAAATATCAATTTTCCAATAAACTTGTAGCTCATTTATTTCCTCTTCTTTCCTTTTTGCGGGTTTTATATTTGCAGCATTCTTTAGTTCTAGAGTTAAAGAAACATTTGCTCTAATCAGACTAATGAGGGATATGAGCTTTAGGTTCCAGACACCTTTCTGGGTTGTTGGGGTTTTTCCCGCAGTTCTAAATGTAAGGCATCAAGTCAAAGTTTGTTTCCACAACATGGTTGAACAAGCTCTGTGTGTGTGTGTGTTCACCTGCAGATACCCTTGTGAGAACATTAATTACCATGAGGTTGAGCCTCCTGCTACTGCACCTCACTGGAATCCTCTGTCACACATCTGGTGTCATAGCACCCACCTCAGTTCTTGCAAGCACCCAGCTTGCTGCCTTCTACCATTAGTTCTGTCATATTCTTTGTGAGCCAAGATAGTCTTGGGATAATTCGTTATCAACCATAGGTGCACCATTGGCGTTACCTGAAGAACTTTTTTTTTTTTTAAGATGCATATGATTGTTTTTCTTTATTTTGAGACTATTTTTGACCTTTCCTTGTTTCTTTGAGTGTCTTTTTTTTTTTAATCATTTTATTAGGAGCTCATACAATTCTTATCACAATCCATATACACATCAATTGTATAAAGTGCATTTGTACATCATTCTCAAAACATTTTCTCTCCACTTAAACCCCCGGCATTAGGTCCTCATTTTTCCCCTCTCTCCCCGCTCCCCCCTCCCTCATGAGCCCTTGATAGTTTATAAATTGTTATTTTGTCATATCTTGCCCTGTCCGACGTCTCCCTTCACCCACTCTTCTGTTGCCCATCCCCCAGGGAGGAGGTCACATAAAGTTCCTTGTAATCGGTTCCCTCTTTCCTACCCACTCTCCCTCTACCCTCCCTGTTTCGCCACTCACACCACTGGTCCTGTAGGGCTCATCCGCCCTGGATTCCCTGTATTTTCAGTTCCTATCTGTACCAGTGTACATCCTCTGGTCTAGCCAGACTTGCAAGGTTGAATTCGAGTCATAGTAGTGGGAGCGGGGAGGAAACATTTAGGAACTAGAGGAAAGTTGTATTTTTCATCATTGTTACATCGCACCCTGACTGGCTCATCTCCTCCCCGAGACCCCTCTGCAAGGGGATCTCCAGGGGCCTACTAATGGGCTTTGGGTCTCCACTTTGCACTCCCCACATCATTCACTATGGTAAGATGAAGAACTTTTTGATGAAATCTGATGCCAGAAAGTAAATCAGTCTCTGGAAATGAAGTGTGTAGTTTTTGTTGTTTCTCTATGTGATTCTACTCTTCAGTCAGGCTTTAAACATTCTAATTGAGGCCTGCCTGATTGATTTTGTGGCCCACAAGGAGCTGAATCTAGGGTTTGAAGAGCACTACTTGTTCTTTCCAAAACCTCAGTTTCTAGCTTCTTCCTCGCTTCTCTTGCCTGATTACTCCATTCAGTGCACTTATTCCAACAATCCTTTTACGCCACCAGCACAGCCAGACAATTGACTCTTCCACCTCCTCTGTGTCCCTCATCCTCATTTAGGAATCACTGCCTTTGCATGTGCCCTAAATCCCAGTCCTACCAATCAATAGACTCCACTCACATCTATATGCAAGTGCAGGTGAAGATGGCCAGAGCAGAACATGCTGACTCTGGACGGCTCCAGTGACTTGTAATTCCCCTCTTTGTAGTGAAGCCATTGTGATCCAGGTGCCAACAACTGCATCGTCCCATAGGCCGTGGATCTTTCATTTATTCCAGGTCACAGCAGACACTGGCATGCTATTTTCTTCCTCATGAAACAGTTTTCACCTTGCTTCCCCAGTACCAACTTAGGCCCGCTTTCTTCCCCTGGCTACTACGACTACGTTGCTTATGCTTTTAGCTTTCTGACTGGAATGTAGAACTACTGTGGGCTTCAGTTCATCTTTTTTATCCTCTTGTTGATAGGGTAACTCCAAAATGTCTCTCTTCAGCCCCAATCATTTTCCTGAATTCTAGACACATTTATCTAAGTGCTTATTCAACAACACCCCTGCTGAAGTGTAATGAGTCTTCAAAAAAAATGTGGACAATTTCCATTAGATTTTCATTCCATTTCCCATGTACTTTTAAAGTCTCCTCATGTTAAGTGTTGAGTCAGTTCTGGTTCATAACGACCTTATATACAACTATGAAACCAGGTGGGGCTGTACCATCCTCACAATTGTTAGGTTTGAGCCCATTGTTGCAGCCACTGGGTCAACTCATTTCATTAATAGCCTTCCTCCTCTTAGCAGCCCCTCCACTTTACCAAGCATGATGTCCTTCTCCAGTGTCTGGTCTCCCGATAACGTCTAAAGCACAGTCTTGCCATTCTTGCCGCCAAGGAGCCTTCTGACATTCCCAGGCAGACCTGTTTCTCTCCTAGCGGTTCATGGTACTTTCAGTACTCTTTGCCAACAACGTAGTTCAAATGCATCGATTTTCCTTTGATCTGTATTCGATGTCCAACTTCACATGCATATGAGGTAATTGAAAATACCATGGTTTAAGATAGATATCCCTTCAGAAACAGTTATAGGAGTAAGGTTCCTTAGGGTATGGGAAGAGGGGTGGGGATGCTGTTAGCATTGATGACTATAACCCCACTCAAGGGGAACGAACAACAGAATTATATATGAGTGGATATATTGGATCTTGTAAGATATGGCAAGATACTGTAAATAAGGGCTCTGGAGGATAGGTTGGGCAAGGGAGGGGAAAAAGGGAAGCTGATATCAAGGAGTTCAAGAAGAGAGAAAATGTTTTGAAACTGTGGTAGCAATTGTAAAATAATGCTTCACGTGATTGAACTATCTGTTATCTGTAAGAGCTCCCCCAAAAGTGATAGATATATATTGTATATACCCGTGTATAAGCCAAGGTTTTCAGAACATTTTTAAATTAGGTGCCTTTGCTGATATTTGGGTAGCCTATACTCGCGTATATATGGTACACCATGGCTTGAGTTGGGTGCCCTTAAGTCCGCGAAGTAATGTCCTTGCTTTTCAACACTTTAAAGAGTCGAATGTGGCAGATTTGCCTATTGCAATGTGTCATTGGATCTCCTGACTGCTGCTTCCATGAGCATCGATTGTGGATCCAAGCAAGACGAAGTCCTTGACAACGTCAATCTCTTCTCCATGTACCATATAGCCATATGTTTATTATATTCACAATAAGCACCTCAGTAAACAGCACCACCATTCTTGCTATTGCTCATGCCAATAGCCTTAAAGCTAGCCTCTTCTCTTTCTCTCATATCACATATCCAACATATTAGTAAACTTTATCAGCTGTACCCTTAACATATCTAGAACCAACTTCACCTCATTCTTAAAGGCCCGAGTCCAAGCCATCCTTTTAGACTGTTGCAGCCCCTCCTGAATCATCTGCTTGGATTACCCATAAGCCTCTGTGATCTTCACAGAGTAACAAGATTCCTCCCTAAGATTGGCAGAATTTGTCTGGCTGCCATCCCACCACCCTTATGATATTCCAGATGGATTTGACCTCTTGTTATTTCTAAAACACATTGGACACGATCGCTGCTGAAGGGAAGACGTGAACAGTATCAAATAGAACATCACAAAAAAGCACCAAGTGCAAGTACTTGAGTGATAAAGGTAACAGCGGAAATGAGCAATAGACAAGCTCACTCACTCACTCCCCTAGTGGATTCTGACTCAGAGCAACCTTATAGGAGAGGTACAGCCTAAGATAAATTAGTGTATTAGAAGATAAGATGAGAAATCCAGAGACATCAGGGGGAAAATGAAATGTGTCAAAGAAAGCTAAGCATTTGGAGGGTGGGAAAAGAGTGCCAGCATCCAGGTAGCAATGAGTCTTAGAGAAATGCAAGAAAGTGGAGCAGAGACGCCGTAGGAAATAAGGCTCTGGTGGAAAGAAAGTGGTTACTAAAAGTGCATTTCAGAAATGAATATAGGAGATCAAAGGGATAAACGTGACTTGACAGTTAAAACTGTGTCTGCTGATCTCCCCTCTGATGCTCGCTGGACCTGATCTGGCTTTCAACATTCTCTGTATTTTTGTTTTTGTTTGTTCCTATCTCAGAGGATCACCCTCTTACACATGAAAGCATGGGCAAGAGAGATTGAATAATTTCCATGGAGATAGAAATAGAATGAGGAAATCACTCTTACATTTTTTTATAAGTGGTTTCACTTTAACATCAACAAGGAAACTCGTTCCATTGCAGAGGCAGTGGAATTAAAAAAAAAATGCAAAGAAATACAGTAAATGAAAAGTATGAAATAAAATGGTAGAACTAAATACATAATAGGGTGCAGTGTAGCACTGATGCAACATACAACTTTCCTCTAGTTCTTAAATGCTTCCTCCCCACCGCTATCATGATCCCAATTCTACTATACTAATCCGGCTATACCAGAGGATGTACACTGGTATAGATAGGAACTGGAAACGGAATTGAGGACAAATGATCCCTTCAGGGCCAATGGGGTGAGAGGCAATACCGGGAGGATGGAGGGAAGGTGGGGTAAAAAGGGGGAACTGATTACTAGAGCCTACAACATAACCTCCTCCCTGGGGGTTGGACAACATAAAAGTGGGTGAAGGGACACGTCAGACAGTGTAAGATAAGACAAAACAATTTATAAACTATCAAGGGCTCATGAGGGAGGTGGGAGCGGGAAGGGAGGGGAAAATGAAAAGTGGAGAGAAAATGTTTTGAGAATGATGAGGGCAATGAATGTACAAATACGCTTTACACAATTGATGTATGTATGGATTGTGATAA